CACTCTCACACACAAACACACACACACACACACACACACTCTCACACTCTCTCACACACACACACACACACACACACACAAAGAAAAGGAAATAAACACACACTTAAATCATTCTCTAGAGAAATAATGTGCTCTTCCACCATATGATATTAGACAATTACCCATTTCATAAAGGAACTATTATTTTTTGTCATTTCATTTGAATATACATATTTGATACTTATATAAATATCATTATATTAAAAAAACTATATATAGTATGTATATATAGTGTATTAACACTACATTATATAAAATACTAGCATATGTTGATTAGTAGTAGTATTATTTAAATAATTTATATAAATATCTTTATATAAAAACTATACATAAACACATACATATTATTATTATTATTACTTACGTATTTGATATGTATATGAATATCCTTATTTTAAAAACTATATACAACAATACTGTTATTATTATTATTCTATATAACATAAAATTCAAAAAAATATAATGATCACTATTTGTAGCAGTATTATTATAAATAATGGTATTTATATAAATACCTTTATATAAAAACTATATATTATAATACTACATTATATAAAATACTAGAACAATATTATTAGTGGTAGTATTAGCATTATAAATAATGATATTTATATAAATATCTTTATATAAAAACTATATACTATAATACTATTTTACTATGTTATTTTGAGACTTGTATATTATATAAATATAAAATACATGCATTATTATTATTATTATTTTAATTTAGTAATGCAATAAAAATTATATATACAGTTCAAATTTAAAATACAATTCGACGTCTTGTTTTCTCTCTCAGTATAAATCCAGGGACTGATCTGTGGAATATAAAAGGCTTTTTCTCAGTTCAGCTCAGAACGGCACACGATCCTGCTGCCAGGTTTGATCTTCCTTCCATTTTAATTATCAGTGACATTCTCGTCTCTCATCTAACGTCACATCCAGTTAGCGAGTCAGAGGTAGATGTAGTAATTTCCTCACTAGTTCTGACACATGGGCAAAAGAAGCGAGACTCTGAGACTTTAAGGTTGTGGTGGGACGGTCATCTACCGCGTGAACGCTGATTATGAGCCGCATTGTCTGGGAGTGAAAGGAAACACTTCATTAATCCAGAGACAAAGCTGTGCACCGGTGCATTAACCCCAGACCGCTGCGGTCTGAAAGTGCGGTGAGAAAGAGGCCGGCTGGATGGCCATCGGGAGGCTTTGGGAGGGGGACGTGACTCTGACCTCCTCCTTAAGTCAAAATGCAAATGCAAAGGCTGTTGGCGGTCAAGAGTTCACGGCTGGGGCCCAGCAGGAGCCCGAATGCGAGATTCTGTGTTTCTGAGTTTCACAGGCAACAACAGAAACATCCTGCTTCATTAACAAACATATTTCATCCAACCTGAAACGCTGGTATGGCTTCAGATGGGGGAAATCTCACAGGCTACGCAGATAACACGGATTAGCATCATGTATCAAAATATATAGAAATTAATTAAAACATTTGCCAAATGATGTCAAATCATTTGGAAAAATAACAGAACAACTCTTCTCAAAAAAAAAAAAAATCTCTCTCTCTCTCTATATATATATAAAAAAATAAATAAAAAATAAATAAATATATATATATATATAATACCTTCTGAAGAAATTGTGTCAGACTTCAGGCTTCTATTAAAATAAATTAAATAATACAATTTTTTATAATTTGCCAAATGACGTCAGACTGCATATAAAAACAAAATAACTTTCCTCAACAAATAAAATAAAATATTTTTTTTATATATCTTATAAAAAAATTGTGTTAGACTCTGGGCTTCTATTAAAATGAAATAAAATCGAATAAATAATTAGACAAATGAGGTCAGATCGCATAGAAAAATAACAGAACAACTGTAATGAACAAGGTGTGTGGTTTGAAGAGTGATTCATAAATAAATCATAAAATAAAATGTTAAATAAAAAAAATAAAAAACCCTAACCCTAACATAAAATAACAACACATACGTGACCCTTTTAAAAAAACTATTGCCAAGGTAATGTATGTTTTTATGCAAGTCTGTGGGATTTCTTCATCTGTTTTATCATCCAGCAGGTGAAAACTGTAAGTCTGATCTATTTTAGAGCACAAGCACTAAAAAGCAATCCAATAAAACGCCACAAAGCAGGTGTTTCTTATTTGATACGCCTCCTGTAATTTCACTCGATTACTGAAAAACACAAAGCAGAACATAACGCGGTTTGCCTGCAGTTAACAACTCATAAACGCCATATTTAGGATCCCATTTCAATGGGATCTTTAATCTGAACTTTCTAAGGTACTGAGACACTCTGACTTGTATCACAATATCCAAAAACCAGAGAATAAGGACTCAAACGCACCCATCACACAAGTTTAGCACATGTTTTACAGCACTTTTAGAAGTAAAAACCTAGACTGTGAGCACAAGGGAGTCTTGACAGAAACTCAAGGCCAACAGAATTCCTCCCAACGTTATAAAACGTCTAGACTGTCAAGTGAAAATGGAACATAAAAATCCCCCGTTCACGAAACGACGAGGCTCCCCTCTGCCAAGCGCCGGGTTCACATTGGCGGGTGTTTATTTGACTTGGCTGGATGAATCTCCACCATCAGTCTGTTAAAACCAAAAGCTGACGGACACAGAGCGAAACCCCCCGAGCCAAACGCAATACGATACACTCGTTTGAAAGAATACAAATGGCACGGGATCAAAAGTTAAGAGAAAGAAAACAAATAATCTGAACATACAAGCGTGAGAGCCTTTATGGAGAGCCGTAGCGGATTCATGAGGTCATATTGAGCAATGCTTCAAGCACTATAAAATCAAAAGTCAAGCGTGCTGTAAGAGAACGGACTGCGGTGATCTGGCAAGAACCTGATCCTGTCTATAGTTTCACACGTGCTCGCCACAAACGGAGACTTCCTGCTGCTGCTGACGCGGTTTCACCCAGAAAACACACGGCTGTAGCATCTGTCAGGAGCGCTGTGACGGCGTCAGGATCCCGCCATTTGGGCTCGACTGTCATCCCTCATCATTGACAGCTGATTGTTACACAGAGCAAAAGACCAAACCACGAGAGCACAGCTGCTCTTCATACAGCGTCTGCACAAACCGGATACGCATCCATCCCACCAATCAAACGCTGTCATTTTCTATGGGTTCAGGTGTGGAGACACTGCAGGTTGGACATGTGAAATTATCCTGCAATGAATAAAAACAAGCATATAATAAGCACAAAATAAAAATAAAATAAAAATAAAATATAAAAACACATTTAGTAAAATAATAAAATAAAACAAAATAAAACAAACAAACAAAAAATTTTAATTCCTAAATTAAATTAAACTTTAGAGTCTGAGACATTTTCTTGAAAAAAGGTAATTTTTTGTTTGAATTTAATTTGTTTTTATTTAATTTCATTTTATTAGAAACCTAGAATATGACACATTTTCTTTAAAAAATTTAAAATTGGTAAAAAAAAAAAATTGTGTTAGACTGTAGGCTTCTATTAAATTAAAATAAAATATACATTTTTACATGTTCTGAAGACAATGTGTCAGACTGTAGGTTTCTATTAAAACAAAATAGATAAATAAATAATATAAAATAAAATAAAACAAAACAAAATAAATAAATAAAAACACATTTAGTAAAATAATAAAATAAAACAAAACAAAATAAAATAAAAATACATTTTTAATTCCTAAATTAAATTAAACTTTAGAGTCTGAGACATTTTCTTGAAAAAAGGTAATTTTTTGTTTTCATTTCATTTTTTAAATTTAATTTTATTTTATTAGAAACCTAGAATGACACATTTTCTTTAAAAATTGTAAAATTGGTAAAAAAAAATTGTGTCAGACTGTAGGCTTCTATTAAATTAAAATAAAATAAAATAAAAAATACATTTTACATGTTCTGAAGACAGTGTGTCAGACTGTAGGTTGCTATTAAAATAAAACAAAATAGATAAATAAATAATATCAAATAAAATAAAACAAAATAAATAAATAAAAACACATTTAGTAAAATAATAAAATAAAACAAAACAAAACAAAATAAAATAAAAATAAATTTTTAATTCCTAAATTAAATTAAACCTAAGAGTCTGAGACCTTTTCTTGAAAAAAAGGTAGTATTTTGTTTTTATTTTATTTTATTTTATTAGAAACCTAGAATATGACACAATTTCTTTTAAAAAGTGTACAATTGGTAAAAAAAAAATTGTGTCAGACTGTAGGCTTCTATTAAAATAAATAAAATAAAAAATACATTTTTACATGTTCTGAAGACAGTGTGTCAGACTGTAGGTTTCTATTAAAATAAAACAAAATAGATAA